TGTCTGTTACAGGTCCACCCACTACCCCACCATGTCCCTGTCCAAACATATGGGAAACTTTTGCCAGCATGTTGCCTAGTTTTTTGCACTCATTTCTTTGGCCGCCTGCCTGCCTGGCTGCCAGCCCCCTTCCAGTGGAAATTACAATAATGAAAATGTATTTGCAAAACTCGCCTAATTAGTTGAATATGAGCCATGTTGGTATTCAAATATGCACACGAGGCTGTCAGAGAGGGACAGCTCAGGCGGCTCCATAGCACAGCAGCAGTTGGAGCAGAGTGGAGAGTGGAGTCGGCAGTGCGGGTGTGCGAGCGGGTAGAGGTGGTTGGCAGAGTGGCACAGATACCAGGCGAAGGCAAAGGCAGTTGCACAGAGTTGCACATAACGGCTAGTTTTAGTTGCCTTCTTTGATGCCCTTAAAGATCGATGGGAGTTCCTCATGGGCTGCGCCAACTAAAAATGCATTTTGGTGCCGCTTGTTGTTGGCTTTTGTGCACGCCAACTACCTGTACTGTAAGTGCCTTCTGCATGGAAGCTTTTAGAAGAGAGCGAGAAAAGCGACCGATCGAAAGACAGCTTTGGAGCAGGTAGCCCAAACGTACGCTAGAGAACGCGGGAGCAATGCAGGGGGGAAGAAGGTGGGAGACAGAGACGAAAAAACGGCCGGTGCAGCACCGTTGGAGCAGGTAGCAGCAGCCTGCTATGCTGTGCACGACGAAGAGGGTGGAAAAGATAGACGAAAGAACGGCCGCTGACGCTCGTAAGCATATACTAAGAACTGTTTTTATGTACAGTGAGTGCTGCGGATAAAGAACAGTGGTGACAATCTAAGTTATGTTTCAGTTTAAGAATTCTGAAACCCGTGATTTTGTCGTTGCGTTTGCGTTATGTTTCAACTTCTGCCTCGCCTTATGCTCATTCTGCCTCAAATGAAAGTGAGCGAAATACCGGAAGGGAGCAGGAAGAGTGGGTGGAAGGGCGTGTGGGTGCCAATGAAATGTGAAAGGTGCTAAAATTGCATAATTACTAAGAAGAGCAATCAATTCGTACGCAATGTGGCACAGACGCTCATAACAGCTGAGACAAAGGGCAGAGGACAAAGGCTTGGGTCGGCAGCTCACTCAAACCCTGTGATACATAAATATTTATATTCTTAACTGATTCTATTCGCAGGCCCTTCGCTTCCGGTTGAGCATTTTAAACGACCTTCGGATCAAAATAAAACCTAGAGGTAACCAGAAAATAATTTTGTTGCCACTAATTATACAAAAAACAAAACAAATTCTAGTTTCAGTAATTTGCAAGTTCTCTAGAAATGAGAGTTTTATAAGCAGGTGTGTGAGGAAGAGCGTAAATTTGTACCAGGCAAAATTAATCGTAATTGCAGTGGGAGTGAGTGACGAAAATACTCGTAAAAATGTCTGTCAAAAATGGGCAAACACATCATCGCGAGACAGGGAGAGAGAGAGCGAGAAGTCGTCAGGGCACATTTACTCAGATTACGACCTTAGTGGAGTGCATGGAAACGCACACAGAGAGAGAGAGAGAGAGAGAGTGAATGTTGGATAGGCACACACACACAAACACACATCATAATCACAACACAATCAAATGACAATCAAACCCGCAAACAGACAAACGACATACCAAGGCAATGCACAACCCCAGGCCCACGCCGACGCCCACGCGTCTGTAGGTGATATGCTTAGAGCTAAAGGGGAAGGATGAAGGCGGAGAAGAGTAGGGCCAAGCACAGCAGTGTGTGGTGTGTGGTGTGTGTGTGGTGCGTGGGCCACATGTGGGCTCCAGCTTCAGCTTCAGCTTCAGTTTCAGCTTCCCCCTTAATGACGATTAACTGCTGAGCCGCAATTAACTGTGAACAGGCGGAAATACGGTGAATGACAGCTGAAGAAATGGCAGCAAGGCCAAAAGCGAGAGAGAGCGAGAGATGGGCTGGTGGTGGCACAAATGTGTGGCACCGGAAGCATAAGATGGGGTCACCGGAAACCGTCGCTAACGTGCCCGCAGGGCATACACTTGCCAACGAATATGACTAGGATTCAAGGCAAAAGGGAAGTGAATGCAGCAAATAAACGCTATAAATTCAAGATTAAAGGTTGGCCAATAACTGCAGGTAAAAGTTAAAAACAAAATCAATTTTGCTTAAAATGTAACAAAAATATTATTACAGAAAATGAAACCGAGTAAAAGGCAAGAAAAGGAATTAAGGAGACGTCAAACACGTGAGTATCCAGCCGAAAACAAACATTCTACCCACTTGGTGGGTATTGCAATCAATTAAACTAATCAAATGCATTCCATTGGTCGAAATGAATGAATCAGTGAGTGAATGAATGGGCAGTGAGCAGAAAACTAAAACATTTCTACGCTACACCAAATCAACTTTAGTGGCCAGCAGAAAGTACTCCATAAAGGCGGTGTCTAGTTGTTCTGTTAAGCTAAATGTATATAGATAAATGGGCATTTAAACATGTGCAACTGCGTAACTTTTTATCCGTTTTAATCACTGATTTACAGCTGTTTCTCCGTTTTAATCACTGATTTACAAAGCGACTTGAAACTGATTTAATCATCTATAAAGTTAGTGTATTAAAAGCAACAGCCACTACTTTATTGCTGACTTTTACACATGCTTAATGTACTCGTAAACCAAAATAAATGAAACAAAGTGCATGAATGATTCATAAATGATTTCTTAGGCCAAAGTCGGGCCAGCATTAATAAGCAAAATGGAGGAGCAGCATGTGCCAGATGGTTTCGAGTGCGAGGAGGAGTAGTAGGAATGGGAGTGCGAGTGCGAGTGCGAGTGCGAGTACTCCCTATGAATGAGTGCCGACAAAAGCAAACAAATGCGCAAATAAATCGAGCTACAGGACAGGACAGCTGAGAAGAGAGATGGTGATGGAGAAGATTATGATGGCGCGCCCACCTAGACGCACCACCGCACGCACTTGGGGCCCCATCCAAGAGTCAAATGTTCGGATGACAATTGCAGCGCATATCCGCTTCCGGGGCCGGGTCTTTGCCACTTCCACCACACACACACACACACACACACACACACAGGAGAGAGGCGGCAGCCACATCAATTTGGAAGCGTGCACATTTATCCTAATCACACACACAAAAGGCAGCAGGCTAAGGGAGGGGGAAACCCTCACACACACACACACACACACACGCCAAGAGCTTATTTATGTGCCCAAGTTCTTTTTGACATTGTTCTTTTATTATTTTAGTCGTTGTCTCCTTGCCCGCCTCTCTCCATGGGGCGGCGCTGCTCATTTTTGTCGCAATTTAGCTAAAAGCGTCGTCTAAGAGGAAGTCGTTTTATATTCCTTTCCCCGCCTTTTCCTTTAATCTTGTTCCTGGCTTGGCTTTTTTCCTCTTCTCATTCTCTCACAAAGAACAAGCACAGAAATATAATAGAGACTTTGGATGGCTGGCGTAGATTTAGGTAGCTGTTAGGCCCTCTCCCACTCTTCCACTCTCCACGGAGGGTATATACTTTTACCTTTTTGGTTAAGATCCATTGGAATGCGACTTTGGTTTAGGAAATTAACGAAATTATTAAATGTTACTACCCATGAATTAGCATTTCCACAAAATATAAAATAAAACACAAATAAAATAAAAAAAAGCATTCAAAATTTTATATATAATTCTGTCAAATGAAGTTACTCCCAACGTATTAATTACTTTAGAGATTTATTTTTGTTTATTTATTTTGTAAATATGACAAGTTTTTTAGTTGAATTTTTGTTCATTTTTAATTGCATTTTTTGTTGTTTTCCTTCTCTTTTTAGTTATTCATTTAAACACCTTTCCATGTGGCAGCTGGAGGTGTGCTGTGTTTGACACATATCGGCCCGTCCAACCCTGCAAACCACACCTGGTGGTCCAGTGGGCCAGACAACTGTTGCTGCTCTCATTCCCTTGTCCATTGTCGCGTCGGCCGGAAATGGCTTCAATGCCAACGTAGACGCCAAAAATGTTGCTGTCATATAGATGTCGCACGAGTGTGTGCGGTGGGTGTGCGTGTGTGTGCGGTTGACAGCAGCACGTCTACAGCTACATCTTCATCTACATCCATGTGTATGTCTATGGCCTTTTCGGGTTGTCTCTGTGCTCTCTGTCGTTGGTTGACTGCTGGGGACTGCTGTTGCTTCACGTGCTCGTTTACAGTCATTTATCATAAAAATATTTCTGCACTCTCATTTTTATAAACTGTATTGTTTCACACGCCAAAGCTGAGAGCTTAGGGTGGAGCAGGAGCCACAGGAGTAAGTACAGTACACACTGAGCATTGTGTGGCGCTTCGAGTCGACATTTTTATGAAGCTAATTTGATGTTGTCATTCTTCATTTCTCATTTTTGTAGCGCCATTTTCGTTTTTACAGCTCTCTCTCTCTCTCTCTCTCTCCGATGAGGCACGGAGGAAGTCAATTCATGGAGGAAACTGACAGCTGGGAGCTGGAGCTGAGGGCATCACTGGCAAACTACAAGTACCATATGGAATGTGTGTCCCCATAAAGCTACACCTAACGGCCGTACACTGAAACTTAACGAGGCTCGTCGCAGGACTTTTAAGTGTCCTTCTGACTGCATGCCACTCTCTCTCTCTCTCTCTCGACCAAGGGCACAGCAAATTATATAGGAGAAAAGCAAGCACAAGACATAAAAAGAAATCATAGAAAGCAACAGAAGATGGAGAAAAGGCTGAAGATTGCCCATTGAGAGATTAGGGCATTATCTATATATTGATATAGAAATACAAATAGAATAATGCTGTAAATATTTACTCCATCACGAACACATCGCCATGCTGCACGTAATATTTTGGTGACCCCGATGCTCAGTACATTTTTTAACGCAAGAATACAGATGCAGAATGCAGAATACTCCGATTTGGCCGAAAACAATTTATTTCTAATATTCAGATTTAAAATAAACATAATTGAAGTTAAAATTTTGATTGCGAAAAATAAAGACACAGGGGAGGGCGTCTTGAAATGTTTCTTGCATGTCCAGAACGTCTTTCATTCTGTGATGGAATGTCGTCTTCCACCTCATAGATTGTCCACAAAATCTTGAGAAAGGTCGGAGGAATATTTGATGGATTGAACAGATGAGGACTATGAACGGAGGCTGGGCTGAGCTTCAATCCAGACAATAATTTATGCAATTACTTACCAATATTAGTGGCGTTTCCTCTTGATTGGATTAGTGGCAGGAACACCAATGATGCAGCATCAAAAAACTATTTCAAATAATGTAAAAATATTTCTTTTTGGGTTGTGTGTCGCGGAGGAAGCCTCTTGTGGCGGTTCTGCACGTTCTTCATCTGGTTGGAAAAGGCTCCCTCTGCCATCTAACGACGCTCCTGAAGCTTCTCCTGCTCCTCACGCTGGCGAGCAAGGCGCTGCGCCTTGATGTGATTGAGGCGCGCCAATGCCTGAATGCGCTCTCTGCGCTCCTCTGGAGTCTCCCGTGGACATCTCACATAGGTGGCCCTGTACTTCTGGGGGATGACAAAAGGCTTCTTGTGTCGCTCCTCGTGGATCTGCTGCTCCTTCTTAAGGTTCCACTCTCCGACCATCCTGTGGGACTCCTCCATGCGCTCTTTGTTTGCCCTTTCGAGTCTCTCACTTTCACGTCTTTCGGCCAGAATCTTCTGTTTCTTCTCCTTGTCCTTGAGCTGCACCCACGCATCATAGTTCAGCTGCCTTTGACGATCCTTCTTCTGCTTGGTGCTCTCGGTGGAGTCTGTGTCTATGCCTGCCACAAGTATTTGATCGGTCAATCCTTCATCCGATTTGCTTAGGTCGCGCCACTCGGGCATTGGGTTTCCGGGTCCACTTGCAGGACTGCCGGACAGCAATTTCCGCTGCACCAATTTTCCTTTAGGATTACGTCGCGACATAAAAGCCATTTCGATAATGGCAGTGAATCAAATTGGCACACGATAAGGAAGTGTGTGTCTGTTGTGTTGTGTGTTCTAAGTTGCCTGTTCCAGTCTAAGGATTGAGTGACGATTTCTGTATGCTGCCCCAACAGAGGTTTCAAATGGTACTAGATTTTTTTTTAAATAAGAAAACATATTTAACATATTTTTGCTCGTTTCCCTTGGACTTGGACTANTCTCTTTTTGGGTTGTGTGTCGCGGAGGAAGCCTCTTGTGGCGGTTCTGCAGGTTCTTCATCTGGTTGGAAAAGGCTCCCTCTGCCATCTAACGACGCTCCTGAAGCTTCTCCTGCTCCTCACGCTGGCGAGCAAGGCGCTGCGCCTTGATGTGATTGAGGCGCGCCAATGCCTGAATGCGCTCTCTGCGCTCCTCTGGAGTCTCCCGTGGACATCTCACATAGGTGGCCCTGTACTTCTGGGGGATGACAAAAGGCTTCTTGTGTCGCTCCTCGTGGATCTGCTGCTCCTTCTTAAGGTTCCACTCTCCGACCATCCTGTGGGACTCCTCCATGCGCTCTTTGTTTGCCCTTTCGAGTCTCTCACTTTCACGTCTTTCGGCCAGAATCTTCTGTTTCTTCTCCTTGTCCTTGAGCTGCACCCACGCATCATAGTACAGCTGCCTTTGACGATCCTTCTTCTGCTTGGTGCTCTCGGTGGAGTCTGTGTCTATGCCTGCCACAAGTATTTGATCGGTCAATCCTTCATCCGATTTGCTTAGGTCGCGCCACTCGGGCATTGGGTTTCCGGGTCCACTTGCAGGACTGCCGGACAGCAATTTCCGCTGCACCAATTTTCCTTTAGGATTACGTCGCGACATAAAAGCCATTTCGATAATGGCAGTGAATCAAATTGGCACACGATAAGGAAGTGTGTGTCTGTTGTGTTGTGTGTTCTAAGTTGCCTGTTCCAGTCTAAGGATTGAGTGACGATTTCTGTATGCTGCCCCAACAGAGGTTTCAAATGGTACTAGATTTTTTTTTAAATAAGAAAACATATTTAACATATTTTTGCTCGTTTCCCTTGGACTACTTATGGTTGCTCCTCCTTCAAGCACCAATCTGCAAATGCTCGAACTCTAGAAGTAAATTGTACAACGATCCGATCTACAGTTTAATTTTTCTTTATTCTGTTAGTCAAAATGGAACATGATGGTTGGGGGTTGAATGGGATGAATGTGATGTGATTAGATGTGCGGGCGCTGCCTCTGCCTCTGCCGCGAGTCTGCAGTGTGTCGGTCTAGGGAAGGGCGGCGAGCTAACGGGGCGTGTTGGCGTGAGAAGTGCTGTAGATGTAGATGACAGATGAAGAAAGTATTTAAAACTTGACAAAACACCGCGGTGTGACGCGTAAGAAGCTTCTCACACGTCCCTTCTCGTTCGAATCTAAACATTAGCACAGACGGACTGCCCTCGCCGTTGCGTGGTTGTGCCTCCAAAACCATCTACGCATCTCCCAAACACAGAGCTAAAATTCTGAGAGCAAAGTCTCTAAACCCGACCTTGTAGAATGATGTTATTAAATCCACTGCAGATACTGCCTACCCAGCTGTGTACCAAGAACATCTTTGATCTTTTCGACAATTATAATGAAGCCAAGAAGTACAAACATAGCCCCAAAGCCTTAATTTGTCTGTCAGTCTTTGACCGGATATATCAAGGTAAGCTTGAAGAATGGGTGTCAGGGGGATGGAACATTCTTTCCACTGATGCATCCATCAATGGTTTCCCTAGTAACCTAGAGAACATTGCCATTAATGAAAAGACTGATAGACTAGCCAAATCAGCCACTAATGTAGGCAAATAATTTATCGCTAACATTCGATGAAGTAATAAGAAAAGTTAAAATAAAAGTTCAGACGGATTGGAACAATGAGTACAAGGAAGTATAAGAAACCAAAGGAATTCACAATGAAATTCCAGTCTCTCGACTGGAGTGTAAAAAATATAAAGGTCATAAATAGACTGTTAATTAATCGAAGCTATGATAACGTCTGTTTTTACACAAAATCAAAGGGGGACACACCAACATTTGCGGCATATGAAATCTTCTCCTGCCAAGGACATGCTATTATCAGGAAAAAATATAAAATTGTTCCTCGCTTTGAAGATCTTAAGGAGCTGTTGCTCACAAAGGAGCCCCTTTTTTTAGCGAACTGTCCAAATTGATTAATGAGGCTAATTTGGAGTTGTGAATCGAAACAGATCCGAAACTGAATTTGTATTCAGGTCGGGTTAACTCAGTGCCAACGGAAGTCACCCTGAGGAGCAACCTTCTGTTGTTCCTCCTTTCTGAGGCAACCTTCTGTTGCCAATATATACCAATGCAACACCATGCATGGTCTCATTAACAACCATCGATAGTCAAGAAAATATCGACAGCCCCATCATCGAACGGAAGTACCTGGTCAAGGCGGACTCATCGTCGTGCGACCATCCAATTTCGCGGCTTCTCAATTGTTAAGAATATCAAAATGGGTGGCCGCAATTTACAGCAGAAAAAGTGGAAATCGAAGAAGAAAAAGTCCCAGAATCGCAAACAGAATAATGTGAGTAGAATGAAGGAGTGAGAGAGGGAGAGGGAGAGGGAGAGCGTGAGAGAAAATGTCTCCTTTGCTGTTTAATTCATAGCATCAGAAGAAGAAACCCCCATCGGAGGAGGCCAACGACTCGCTTGTGGAGAAATGTGAAACATCAGACATGGAGCTAGAGGTAGTGGAGTTGTGGGAAGATTTCGTTGACTTTTACGAGGGCGAAGCACACGGGCCAAAGCAGGAGAGAAAGTTCTGCAAAGCACTGCAGAACAAGGAGCTGATGGAGTACGAAGGAACTTTTGTGGGATTGAGGAACATTATCCAGCAGATGTCCAATTTCCGCAAGTTCGAGGTATTCATGATGCTGTACCCCACGCTGGCCATGGGCTACCTGCAGATGGTGTATAGCGGCAAGTGGCAGCGGGCCAGGGACTACGTGGAGCGGCACAAGGTCGACCTATGCGACTACTACCGAAAGCGCATCGAGAACCTGAAGCTCATCCGCAAGCGGAAGGACATGCCGGGCAGGGCACTGGAGCTGCTGAGTGGCGTGAAGAAGGAGTACTTCCTGATGGCCAGCACAACCTGGGAGCAGTTCATGGTGATCCAGTCGAGGCTCTGGACCAGGAAGCAGCAAGAGTGCTTCAGCGCCCACTTCCAAATCGCCACCTACTCCGATTTCATGATGCCCCTGGAGCGGCGAATCACGGATCATCCCCTGCCAGAGCCGTTCAACTGGGCTGCCGCTGTTCAAGGTTCGGACTCCACTCCGGGCACTTCGGAGCCCCTCGGTCGGAACAGGCTGCCCGCTTTGAGCATGAACTTGGCCACGCCCGTGGACACAGAGGATGAGGTGACTTGCGCGACGCTCTCGGAGGATCACTGCAGCGTGGCGTTTGGCACTTTCTCTGGGATGATGCACGTCGTGGCCGTGCGGAAGGATTGGCGGGAGGCAAACAACCTGCGCAGGGAGAATGTCTTTCAGGCCCACCAGAAGTGGGTGATGGCCTGCGCCTTCTCCCCTGGGGACCGGCATCTGCTCACCTCATCGGCGGATAAAACGATGCGGCTGTGGTGCACCCGGAGCGGCTGCTGCAAGATTGTGTATACCACGGGCCAGGTGCCACTTACGGCCAGCTGTGTGGCGTTCGCCCCGCGGGGCTGCTACTTCGCCACCGCCTCGGAGGACGCAGTGGTGCGCGTGTGGAGGGAGGACGCGGAGCATCCCATCATCAGTTTGTTCGGCCACTTGGCCAAACTGATGGTGTGTCGTTTCCACCCGAATGGCAACTACTTGGCCACAGGATCGGCAGACGCCACGGTCCGCATTTGGGACTACCGAAACCACGCCCAGATGCGCGTCTTCCGCGGCCACAAGGCCCCAGTCAGTGCCCTCGTGTACTCCATCTGCGGACGCTACCTGGTCTCTGGGGGCCGCGACGACCTCGTCATTGTGTGGGACACGAGCACCGCGCGGTTGCTCCGCTGCCTCTGGCAGCACAAGGCACTGTCCATTGCCTCCATTGACATTTCGTACTGCAACAATCTGCTGGCTGTGTGGAGCCAGGAGTTCCAGCTCACCCTCTGGGACTTTCAACTGCTCCTGCAGAACTCATCCATGGAGAATGTATCCTCTGCCCAGAGCAATGACAGCAATGGGAAGCTTTTGATTCGCACAGTGAAAGCCCCCGAGAATGTGATTTGGCTTCAGAGTGGATTCTTCGGTCGGGATGGCCTCGTGGCCATCTACGCTGAAGACTACAAGAAGTCGGCGGACGTCCTGGCTTCGATTGTGAAGCAAATTGAAAACTTACAAATTGGAACTAAGTCGGAGGCAGAGAAAAATGAGATCATGGAGTCCATGCTGAATAAGATCCTCAGTTCCGAAAGTGACAACACAGCCGCAGGAAGATCTTGAATTAATTAAATTGGGTGATGGGATCCAATAATTATCCAATTACATTTTGTTTCATTTCAACTTGCAAATGTCGGAGAGTATACGCGGAGTATACCTTCGGGTGGGTGTCCACTGCTCAATCCAAAGTGCTTCGTTTTTTGTTTTCTCTTTGCTGCTTCCCTCGCCTCCCCTCCCCTCCCCTGCCAGTGGCAGACATTTAATCGCCTTGTTGTTGTCTCCACAATTTATGGACTGGCACGGACGACGCATTGGAAAAGTAAATTCGATTTCGAACATTAATTACTGAATCTTGCCTTGCAGACATTGCATTTGGCAATTGTCACTGGCTTTTATTTAATTTATGATGTTCACTGATTATAAATATTCGCAGCGCAGCTGTTGTTATTTTTCAATCTAAACATTCTAATTGTGTCCAGGCAATGGCTCGCAAATAACGGTACTTTTGTCTTTGCGGTTTGGTCACTGACAAAAGAGAGAGAGAGAGAAAGACAAGGCACACTCGCCCACGCTCTTTGGCTCTTCGCTTGACACATTCGCAGTTTCGTTAGATCATCCCTGTCTTGTTGCGTTTCTATGCACAAACAACAGACACGAAGTCACGAAAACGTTTCTTGCTTCTCTGCCGCTGCAATTGTGCAAAGGCCACCGCCACGAAGTTGTTTCTCTGCCGCTGCATCGATTCCTCTGCACACCATGCTTTTGTGTCGACGCTGTGCGTCTGTGTCGACTGCGCTGCCTAAGATCTGATTGTATGAACAGAACGGAGCACACGTCGCTGCCGGCCTCTGCTGCAGGTGAGCAGAGCCTAACTAGAATCTGCCTTTGTGTTTATGCTTCATGCTTACCGTTTCTGTATCTTACATCCGTGCACTTTAATTGTGCCCAGATAATTTTTATTGTCATGCTTTGGCCGAGTGTGGAAGCTTGCAGAAGTTTGAATTAAATTCAGAGTTCCACTGAAGAGGATTGTAACCTTGGAAGGAATGCTAAAAATATACTTAAAAGTGGGCATGAGCAATGGCCAGAACGTGCTTTACCTTTCATCTCAATTGATCTAAGCGGCTCCAGCACCCACATTGTAGCACACTGTTTCCCCAGACATTTCCTTGCCACAATTTGACATGAGAATGTGTCAAAGTTTTGGCTTCGACTTCTATTTGTTTATCCAGGCAATCAAGGCAATCGTTTCTTGTTGCCATCAGAGTTGCTTTTGCCACCTGCCCACCTGCCCTGCCTGGCATTGTACAACACTGCTCATCAGTTTTAGATTGTCGTAAAAATTCTCTCATTGTGCTATTAGTATTTTGCTTTTTTATTTCGGTTTTTAGGTTTTAGTCTCGAGTTGAGCTGCGAAAATGTTGCTGGTTCGTGCCACGAGAGGACGAGTGCTGGTGCGAGGGGGCCTGCAGCTGGTGCGCACCTTGGCCACGTCCGCGGTGTGGAGAGGCAATTGGCAGGGTCAAAGTGTCAGTGCACTGGGCAGACAGAGGAGCGGCTTCTGCTGCTGCTGGTGCCGCTGGAATGGTCTGTCTGGCATGATGGCCAAGCGCTTCTGCAGTGACGAAGAGGATTCCCACGAAGATGAACTCGAGCCGGAGCCGGAGCCGGAGCCGGAGCCAGTGCCCGATGTGTGGCCACATGTGCCGGTAATAGCACTGCGTCGGGCTCCCTCCTTTCCGCTCTTCATGGATATTATCGAGGTGACTAATCGAAACAAGCCAATTTGAAGTCCATTCCCACTAATGGTTGCTTGCAGCTGACAAATCCTGTGGTCATGGATCTGGTGCGTAGCAAAATAATGCAGGGCGAGCCCTACGTGGGGCTCTTCCTGAAGCGTGTCCACGATTCCGAGGAGGAGCTTGTCGCCAGCCTGGACGAGGTCTATCAGGTGGGCACCTTTAGTCTGATCCGAAAGGTACAGGATTCAAGCGAAATGCTTCGGCTAATGGTTGTGGGTCAGCGCCGGATACGCATCACGGGACAGTTGGAGCCACCAAAGGCGACGCCAGGTGAGTGCTCCCACAGCTGCCGCAGATGCAAGATTTTATTCTCTTGTTAGCTGCTGCAGAGTCCGTGCTCATTGCCATCGTGGAGAATGTCCAGACTCCGGCCTACGAGACAACCGAAGAGCTGACAGCGATCAGGCTGGAGATGATCAAAACGTTGCAGGATCTGACCAAGGCAAATGCCATGTACAAGTGAGTGGCAGCGGCTGCCCCTTATGCTCTGTGTGTCTTGATCGCTGCCCGGTTTTCGGTTTAGGAAAACTCTCCGTCAGGTGCTGCACCACTGCCAACGGGTCGTGGACAATCCCGTTTATCTATGCGATTTGGCTGGCGTGCTGTCCGTCGCCGGGCCAGAGGAGCTGCAGAAGATTCTAGAGGAAACAGATGTACGTCTAAGGGTTGACTCTTTCTTCTGTTTGATGTTGTCCCTCTCTCCCTTAGGTACGCGAGCGCATGATGCAAGCCCTGTTGGTTCTCAAAGCAGATCTCGAAACCATTAAGTTGGAGTCGAAAATTCAACAAGAGGTGGAGGAAAGAGTGGAGAAGCATCATCGGCGCACCATTCTGCGCGAAGAACTGAAGATTGTCAGGCGGGAGCTGGGCCTACAGCTGGACGACAAGGAGGCGATTGTGGCCAAGTATCGGGCCAAGCTGCAGGACAAAGTTGTGCCCGAAAACATTGGGCAGCTCATCGACGGGCAACTCGACAGATTGAGGACCATTGAGTGCACTTGCCAGGAGTTTAAGTACCCCAAAAGACCGCCAAGCTAAAAGATCCACCAACTAATCTTGATCCTTCGCAGTTTAATCCGTCACTACTTGGACTGGCTGACGGCGCTGCCTTGGGGTGTCTCCAGCACCGACAATCTGTGCATGGAGCATGCCAGCGAGGTCCTGGACCACGACCACTACGGCATGGAGGACGTGAAGCGGCGCATACTCGAGTTTGTGGCCGTCAGTGCGCTGCGGGGCAGCACACAGGGCAGGATTCTGTGCTTCCATGGGCCACCGGGTGTGGGCAAGACGAGCATTGCCAAGTCCATTGCCCGTGCCCTGAACCGCAAGTACTTTCGCTTCAGCGTGGGCGGCCTCACGGATGTGGCGGAGATCAAGGGTCATCGTCGCAACTATGTAGGAGCCCTGCCCGGCAAGGTGATTCATTGCCTGAGGACCACCAACACGGATAACCCTCTGGTGCTCATCGACGAAGTGGACAAGATTGGCAAGTAGGTGGCACACACAGAGGCCACACTCTGAACTGAATTAACATTCCCCATGACCCCCCACCTCACAGAGGCCACCAGGGTAATCCCTGTGCGGCATTACTAGAGCTCTTTGACTCCGAGCAGAGTGCCAGTTTTCTGGACAACTTCCTGGACGTGCCCATCGATCTGTCGCGTGTGCTCTTCATTTGCACAGCCAATTGGATCGATCGCATTCCCGAGCCACTGCGCGATCGCATGGAAATGATCGAAGTGGCCGGCTATGTGCCAGAGGAGAAGCTGTCCATTGCCCGTCAGTATCTGGTGCCGCAGTCGATGGGCGACTGTGGCTTGTCCCAGCAGCAGTTCAGCATCACGGAGAGCGCCCTGCAGCTGCTCATTCACAGATATTGCCGCGAAGCTGGGGTGCGGCACTTGCTCCAACAAATCGAAAAGATTATCCGCAAAGTGGCGCTGCAGCTGGTCCGCCGGCAGTGCACCAGCTTCCACGTGACTGCCGACAATCTGTGCACGTTCCTGGGCGCGCAGATCTATGCCACGGATCGGCTGTACGAGCGGACGCCGCCGGGCGTAGCCATGGCCCTGGCCATGGGCGACACATCGCTGTACATTGAGACTGCGCGTCCGGCCACCCACAAGCCACCCGCTGCTGATGTCTCAGGCACACTGCAGATCACGGGCAATCTGGGTTCGGTGATGCAGGAGTCGGTACAAATAGCCCTCACGGTGGCGCGTAACTTCATGCAACAGCGGCATCCGGGGAATCATTACTTGCAGTTGGAGTGAGCGTTGCAGCTTTTGCTCCTCGATTGATCACTCGTTCATTTTGTGTCTCTCTCTCTGTCCGTGTTCCAGAAACATTCACCTGCATGTGCCCGAGGGCGCTGTGCGCAAGGATGATCCGAGTGCCGGTGTCACCATCGTCACCGCCTTCGTGTCGCTGGCCACCAACAGATGCGTGCGAGACAATCTGGCCATGACGGGCGAGATATCGCTGAGGGGCAAAGTTCTGCCCGTGACAGGCATCAAGCAGAAGGCCATAGCGGTGAGTGCATGGATCAACGTTCAATGATTGATTCAATTTGCCATCTCCCACACACACACAGGCACGTCGCAGCGGCATCAACTGCGTCATCATGCCCGCGGACAACCGACCGGACTTCGAGGAGCTGCCCGAGTTCATAACCGCTGGCCTGGAGGTTCACTTTGCGGCCAACTACGAGGATGTCTACAAAATTGCCTTTGACGAGCCAAACGAAAACGAGCCGTCCCCGCGGGAGACCCTCGTCAAGCCGTCCTCAGTCGATGCTTAATTCGCTTAGAATGCATCCTAGATTCGTCAGTTTAGTTAAACAATTATTTAGACAATACAATAAACCATTTACTAAACCTTAAGACAATGTTTATTCGATGAAGAAACTGCCCCGTGGCTTGGCAAGGGAAACACAAAGAAAAGAGACAAAGTTTATGGGCCAAAGCTCGCAAATATCAGTCAAAACCCTCTTATTTACGGGACAGCAAAGACCCGCTTAAATCTCTCTTTGCTCATTTCGCTCTTCGCTTAAGAATTTCTCTTTTCTTACGTTACTGTTCTTCACCTGAGGCAGCGCAGTCGACACAGACACACAGCCCAAAAGCATGGTGTGCAGAGGAATCGATGCAGCGGCAGAGAAACAACTTCGTTTGCACAATTGCAGCGGCAGAGAAGCAAGAAACGTTTTCGTGACTTCGTGTCTGTTGTTTGTGCATAGAAACGCAACAAGACAGGGATGATCGAATGAAACTGCGAATGTGTCAAGCGAAGAGCCAAAGAGCGTGGGCGAGTGTGCCTTGTCTTTCTCTCTCTCTCTTTTGTCAGTGACCAAACCGCAAAGACAAAAGTACCGTTATTTGCGAGCCATTGCCTGGACACAATTAGAATGTTTAGATTGAAAAATAACAGCAGCTGCGCTGCGAATATTTATAATCAGTGAACATCATAAATTAAATAAAAGCCAGTGACAATTGCCAAATGCAATGTCTGCAAGGCAAGATTCAGTAATTAATGTTCGAAATCGAATTTACTTTTCCAATGCGTCGTCCGTGCCAGTCCATAAATTGTGGAGACAACAACAAGGCGATTAAATGTCTGCCACTGGCAGGGGAGGGGAGGGGAGGCGAGGGAAGCAGCAAAGAGAAAACAAAAAACGAAGCACTTTGGATTGAGCAGTGGACACCCACCCGAAGGTATACTCCGCGTATACTCTCCGACATTTGCAAGTTGAAATGAAACAAAATGTAATTGGATAATTATTGGATCCCATCACCCAATTTAATTAATTCAAGATCTTCCTGCGGCTGTGTTGTCACTTTCGGAACTGAGGATCTTATTCAGCATGGACTCCATGATCTCATTTTTCTCTGCCTCCGACTTAGTTCCAATTTGTAAGTTTTCAATTTGCTTCACAATCGAAGCCAGGACGTCCGCCGACTTCTTGTAGTCTTCAGCGTAGATGGCCACGAGGCCATCCCGACCGAAGAATCCACTCTGAAGCCAAATCACATTCTCGGGGGCTTTCACTGTGCGAATCAAAAGCTTCCCATTGCTGTCATTGCTCTGGGCAGAGGATACATTCTCCATGGATGAGTTCTGCAGGAGCAGTTGAAAGTCCCAGAGGGTGAGCTGGAACTCCTGGCTCCACACAGCCAGCAGATTGTTGCAGTACGAAATGTCAATGGAGGCAATGGACAGTGCCTTGTGCTGCCAGAGGCAGCGGAGCAACCGCGCGGTGCTCGTGTCCCACACAATGACGAGGTCGTCGCGGCCCCCAGAGACCAGGTAGCGTCCGCAGATGGAGTACACGAGGGCACTGACTGGGGCCTTGTGGCCGCGGAAGACGCGCATCTGGGCGTGGTTTCGGTAGTCCCAAATGCGGACCGTGGCGTCTGCCGATCCTGTGGCCAAGTAGTTGCCATTCGGGTGGAAACGACACACCATCAGTTTGGCCAAGTGGCCGAACAAACTGATGATGGGATGCTCCGCGTCCTCCCTCCACACGCGCACCACTGCGTCCTCCGAGGCGGTGGCGAAGTAGCAGCCCCGCGGGGCGAACGCCACACAGCTGGCCGTAAGTGGCACCTGGCCCGTGGTATACACAATCTTGCAGCAGCCGCTCCGGGTGCACCACAGCCGCATCGTTTTATCCGCCGATGAGGTGAGCAGATGCCGGTCCCCAGGGGAGAAGGCGCAGGCCATCACCCACTTCTGGTGGGCCTGAAAGACATTCTCCCTGCGCAGGTTGTTTGCCTCCCGCCAATCCTTCCGCACGGCCACGACGTGCATCATCCCAGAGAAAGTGCCAAACGCCACGCTGCAGTGATCCTCCGAGAGCGTCGCGCAAGTCACCTCATCCTCTGTGTCCACGGGCGTGGCCAAGTTCATGCTCAAAGCGGGCAGCCTGTTCCGACCGAGGGGCTCCGAAGTGCCCGGAGTGGAGTCCGAACCTTGAACAGCGGCAGCCCAGTTGAACGGCTCTGGCAGGGGATGATCCGTGATTCGCCGCTCCAGGGGCATCATGAAATCGGAGTAGGTGGCGATTTGGAAGTGGGCGCTGAAGCACTCTTGCTGCTTCCTGGTCCAGAG